GAGCGGGGAGGGAGGGGAAAAATGAGGACCTAATGTCGGGGGTTTAAATGGAGAGAAAATGTTTTGAGAAACGATATACAAATGCGCTTTACACAATTGATGTGTGTATGGATTGGGATAACAGTTGTATGAGCCCATAATAAAATGTTAAAAAAACCAAAAAAAAACTCATGCCATCAAGTAAATTCTGACTCACAGGGACCCTGGCGGGCAGAGCAGAGCAGACCTGATGGGCTTCCAAGACTGTCAGTCTTTTTTTTTAAAAATACTTTTATTGGGGGCTCTTCCATCTCTTATCACAGTCCATCCATTCCTCCAATGTGTCAAGCACATGTGCACATAGCTGCCATCATCATTTTCAAAGCATTCTCTTCCCACGTGAGCCCCTGCGATCAGCCCCCCATTTGACTCTCGGTGTTTAAAGGAGCGGACTGCCTCATCTTTCTCCTGAGTAACAGCTGGTGGGCTTGAACCACCGGCCTTACGATGGGCGACCACGTAACCCACGGCTCCCACCGGGTCTCCTTTCCTTAAAGATTACAGCCAGAAATATAAAATGAAATAAATAACCCTGTGGAACGCGGTCCTAGGCTGAACCTCAGGGGCTCACGATGGACTGAAATAGCCAAAGGTGACGTTTCTGTCCCTCTGCCCCCAAGAGTGCCTCCCTGTCACTCTGAATCTGTATTTCCCAGAGTCCCGTTCTCTGCTTTCCAAGTCTCTCGGGTTCTCTAGCCCCCTCTCATTCAACGGCGTCAGAGAGGGAGAATTCCCCCACCGTACGACTCACCCTTTGAAGGGGTACCATTCAGGGTGGCTTTGTGTGCCCACGCGCAGCTGTCTGTGTCCTGACCCCCAAGCTCAGCACGTGTCACGGGTCGCTTCCTCGTGTCCTTCCCAAGATCCCTGTCAATGTTGGGCTCTCGGGATGTTCTGCGGTTATGTAATGGTATGCCATCCCCCTACCCGGTAACGTGATGTGATCTGATATGACCAGCCGATCAGCTGAGAGGGGATGCTGTAGCACCCTTAGGGAGGTCCCAGCCCAACGTGATGATGGTCAGGGGGAGTTTCCCTAGGGTGTCATTGCTTTTTTTTTTCTTTCAGTCTTACAAGAGATAAGAAGAGACCAAGAAAAGCAAATGCTGCACCCCATAGGTGGTGGCAGGACACTGGTGATTACACGTGGTTACGCACTGGGCCCGTCAACGGAAAGGTCAGGAATTTGAAACCACCGGCGGCTCCCTGGGAAAAGCCTGGCTTTCTATTCCTGTAAACAGTTACCATCTGGGAAACCCACAGGGCAGTTCCACCCTGTCCTATTGAGTCACATGAATGGGCATCGACCAGGTGGCAGCGACGTTTGTTTGTTTCTCGGGTATGGAAAGGAGGAGAGGACCTTCTCCCAGAACCTGAGAGAGCCAGCCTCGAAGTTTAAGTCTCCCAGCCCCTGGACTGTGGGCACAAAGCTACTGCAGCATGGTAAATGACATGCCAGGCCAGGACACTGGCCTGTGACCCGCGCGTACACGCAGCCTGTTGGTGACAGCAGCACCAGCTAACCGAGAACAAACGTCCGTGGAAAAAGACCCTCCTTGGACAATGCCCTTTGTTTCCCCCCTCTGACTTCTGAGACCTTGGTCTTCAAGGGTCTGCCCCCCACCCAGCCTCGGATCACTGGAGCCTCTCTAGAGGCCTCTGCCTCTCAGGGTCTCGGCTTCTCCCAGGCTCGGCCTGGGCCCTGGCACTGGGTCCCTGCTTTTTCTCCTCCCCCTCTGGCTCCAATTCTCAGCCTCTCGGGGACATTAAAAATGTAACAGCATCCAGGCGAGGGAGCTGGCCCTCCTGCCTGCCTCTCTGCCCCTCCTGTGTCCACCACTCCCTGTGGCCCAGGCTCTAGCGGCCTTGAGGTCAGGGCATGTCCACCCTCCCTCTTCCTCTACCCTCTGGCTTCCTCACCAAGCCTTTGGGGCTCTCTCCTTCAGTTGTTTACATCTGCCCCCCGCCACCTGGGGGTCCAACTCCCTTCCCCTGCCCTTCCTCAGGCCACAACCCTAGGTGTTAGCCTCCACAGCCACCCCAAATTCCTTTTCAGTATCCCTGTGTGAGCCTGGGCGTCCGCCCTGCCCACCCCCCCCCCCATCCCTCAACCTCCTCCCAGCTTCCATCCCTTGCTCTCCATCCTGGGCTGCATCTTCTTATAGCCCTCCCCTTCCCCACCCCCACCCGCACCCAGTGTGTGAGCAGCAGGCTCACCCCCTTTTCTGCTCTGCCCAGCCCCCTTTACCCAATGAGAAAGGACAAGCAGAGAGGATCCAGTCCCCTGTCTCCCTTCACCTCCTCCCCTGTGAATGCACAGTGAGCCTGGGGGGCAGAGGGTGGGGAGCATGGAGGGGTGATCACAGGCACGGTGCCCTGCTGGGGGCTCCCTTGACCCCTGTGGAGGCCCAGGAAGAGGAAGCCTCGGGCAGAGGTAGAGACAGGTGGATGGAGAGAGAGAGAGAGAGAGAGAAGGAGGAGTTGAGAGAACCAGAGCTTCAGGGAGTCCTGAAGGTGGGGAGAGAGAGGAAGAAAGGGGGGCGGGGGTTGGGGAGAGAGGGAGAGAAAGAGAAGAAATGAAGAGAGACCAGAGATGGAGCAGAGACAAAAAAAAAGATTTCAGAGAGAAGGTTAGTAAGGAGACAGGAGACTCCAGGGTCACTGAAGGGGACTGTCCCCTCCCTGGCGCCAAGACCTTTCCAATGGGGCCGGTGGGGCCCTGGGAGCCTTCCCCTCGGGCCTCACAGGGCAGGGATTGTGGTCAGAAAAGGCTCCCCACCCGGCCCAGCAGCGCTGAGAACAGGGTCCGGAGAACCGAGGAGGCAGGCTCTGGAGGCGGGTTCCCCCCAGGAAAAGTGGTCGGCCCTTTTTGAGCTTCCTGTCTCCTCGCTGGCAAAACGGGAGTAGAGCTCTCCGCGTCCGCGCCGGCCATCTAGAACCTTCCACGAGAAGTCCAGGCTCAAGACGAGGAACACTGACCAAAGGCCCTAGCTGAGGCAGGGGGCAGGTGGAAGCAGCCTTAGTTCAAGGCCGACAGGTAGTCAGTGACATCTTTGGGGTGGGGGCGAGGGGATAAGGGAAGCTGGCCAGGACCGGGTCCCTCCGAATCCCCCCTCAGTACCCCATCTCTGAGAAAACCCCTGGGAAAGACCAACAACAGCTTCTGGCCTAGTATAAACACCCGGCTCACCTGTAAGGGGGAGGAGCCAAGGTCGCCTTCACCTGTTCCCTCCCGGTTCCTCCCTCCCCGGCGGCCTCACTCAGCCAGCGGGGCTGGGGGGTGGGGGGCAGAGGGAGGACGAGGGTGGGCAGCAGAGTGGAGGGAGGGGTGTTCAGGGCGGTGACTCCTCCCTTCCACAGCCCCGAGGCTGCTCCGAAGGACAAAGGCGAATCAGAGCGGAGATAAGGTCCCGAAACCCGAATCGAAAGTCGGGAGGGGCTGCCCCGCCCGGCGGGGCAAAAGTGAAGCTGGAAAACTTCCCCCGGGATGTCCGCGAGGCCGAGGGACCCCAGGGCCCCGGCGTTACCTGCGACCCGGACCCCCGGAGGCGGTCGCTGCCCACGTACAAGTGCTCTTACCCAACAGCCCCCTGCCCACCCAGCCAGCTGAAGCCCCACGAAATTGAACCTCCGCCCCCCCAAGTCTGCCGAAGACCCCGGAGACAGAGCCGCCCAGCCACGATCAAACCTGGAACCCATGAAATTGAGACTCTCCGCAACGCCCACCCACCCCGCCCCACAACTCGGCTCCAAACCTACCTGGACCCTGGCAGACGGAGCCCATCCCCCCATTAAATCTGGAACACCAGGTCGAGACACTCCCCCGCGTCCAGTTCTCGCTGGACCCCGTCCAGCAGTCCTCTCCCCACAATTAAATCAGGACCCCCACAAGGGTGAGCCCCTCCTGCCCCCGTTGCACCTGGGACCCCATCACACAGACCCGGGTTATCATTCTATAGGGCCCCCCCCCAAGAAACAGGAGACCCTGGCCCCGAATTGTTCCAGCCCCTTGTGTTCTGAGGCCCATGAGTCGGAGCCCCCAGCCCCCTGAGAGCCGGGATTAGAGTCCTTCAGCCCTGTCCCTAGGAAGGCTCACCCTCCATCTAGGAGACCCCCAAGTCCGATTCGAGAGGCCACCCTCGCCCCCTCCCCCCGCGGGCCCCGTCCGAGCTCCCAGCCCCTCGAGGTCCACACCAGGCCCCCAGCCCCCCAGGCTTCCGAGGGTCAGCCCTAGGAGACGGGAGGTGGGGGAGGTGGTCTCGCCATCGCGGAGACCCTCCTGCTGGAGGGGCGACATTCCCTGCATTCCAGAGTGGGGAACAGGAGACGGAAACGCAGATCCGGGCCAACCGCTCGGCGCAAGGTGGGGAGGGGGCTTCCAGCCAACCGAGAGTGTAACCCTTTCGGCGGCAGAGTTGGAGGGAGGGGGCGGGGGTGGACGGAAGTTGAGATCGAGAATGGGGGTGGCGGTGAGCGGGAGGGAGACAGAGAAGGGTCAGCCAGGAAGGGGGCACGAGCCAGGGGGGTCGGCGGACTGGGGGTAAGAGGTGGATCGGAGCAGGGGGTGCGGGAGGGGGAGGATCCCCGCGTGGGAGGGGTCCCCGGGGCCGTCCACGCGCTCTCTCACCAGCTTTCCAAAACAGCAGCAGCAGCAGCGTCGGCAGCAGCGTCGGCGACGATTTCGACGGCGGGAGGGCTGCGGCCCGGGCCATGGAGGGCCCGGGAAGGGACTGGGCCCCGATCGGGGCCGCGGGCCACTAAGCGGGCGCCGATCCGCTTGGGCGGAGGAGCAGGTGCCTGACGGGCTCCGGCTCCAGGCCGGTTCTCGCCGCGCTCTCCCTTCGTGTCTCGGCGCCCGGGGCCCCGAGCTCTGGCCGTTCGGACTCGCTGACGTCACAGGACCCACCCCCTCGCTCCCGGCCCCGCCGGGTGGACTCTGGGCTCCGGCCCCGCCCCCTCCTGGGTTCTCCGCGGAGCGGGTCCCCAGGATTCAACCCCCGCCCCCGCCCAGGATTCAGACCCCGCCCGGGTCCGGGGGTTCCACACCTGCTCGTTTCCGGGAGGCTGACCCCCCCACCCCAGCGCCCCGCCCAGAACCCTAGGCCCGCCCCTTTCCCGGGTCCTGACCCCGCCTTTCCCAGGGTTTAATCCCGAGCCCCCTGGGAGCTCAAACACGCCCCTTTCAGGATTCTGGCTTGGCTCCTCGGAGCTACGGCCACGCCCCCACCCTTTTAACCCAGAGGCTCCACCCACGCCACGCCCCCAAACTGCGCGCGGCTTCACTTAGGTTCTGACTCCGCCTCCTGAGCCTCTGGGCGTCCCCCCAAGGCCCCGCCTCCAGTGTGGCCCCGCTCACCTGTTCTCACTACTCCTTCCTGTCTATTTCCAGGAGCGCCTTCCCGCCGCATTTCAGATTAAAGTTGTAACGCTCCCCTCTGCCCGGATCCCTTCTCACATCCGGTGGTGCAGTAGACTAGGGCGAGGGGAGGCGAAGGTTAAACGTAAAGTCGGCGGTTCGAACCCACCAGCGGCTCTGTGGGAGAAAGATGAGGCTTTCTGGAACTCCTTACAGACCTGACAACTCACCAGGGCAGTTCTACTCTGTCCCGTGGGGTCGCCGTGAGTCGGAATCGACTCGATGGCAGTGGGCGGTTGGGGATTTTTTTTGTTTATTCTATGGGGGGGACACACCTGCGTGTGGCACGTAGGGGGGTGTGTCTCAATGACCCTTCCTCTGTGGGCTCCCTTGCCCGCTTCCACGGAGACCTCACCCCCGCAGCGCGTCCTGCCTAGCTCTCGCCCCTCCTCGGCCTCCTCATCAGGATGGCCGCTCTCGGCGTCCCCTAATCTCGGACCCTAGATGTCGCTGTGCCGTTTCGTTCTCATTTCTCTGCTCCGCGTAGAGCCTCTGCCTTTGTGTCCCCCGGTCCGGCCGTTCCTCTCGCGGTCCCTGTCGGTCTGGCTCTGGCTCTCGTCCTGACGTCGCTGGGGGTCCGATCTCTTTGTCTCTGTCGCTGCATCTCTGTCGCGTGGTCCCCGTGTCGCTTTCCATGTCTTTGGCTCCCATCTCTGTCTCCCTCCTTGCCTCCCTGCGCCCCGGTGTGTCTCCCTGGGTGTCTCTGCGTTGCATTTCTCTCGCGGGGGTCTCTTTCTTTCCGTATCTCTGTCCCCTCCCTCCCCGCATCCCGCTCCTCCCCGCCTCCGCCAATACCGACACCCTGCTCCCACTCCGGTCCGCTCCGCCGCCCTGCCGCCGCCGCCGCCCGCCAGGGGGCAGCACAGACCGGGCTCGGCGCGGGGCTGATCTAGGGTCCGGCCGCGGCCCCGCCGATCCCTCCCCTTGGCCTTGTCCCACTTCTGCTATCTGCCCAGCCGCCGCCGCCGCCTCTCGGTGTCCTTCATTTGGACTCGGCCCCTTTGTCTCGCCCTGCGGCTCCCGTTCCTCCCGCCCCACCCCCTTCACAGTCCTCTGACTGCCTGGGGGAGCTGGAGAGGCCACTGGGGAGGGGGGGAGGGTGGTGGGGGCGGGGCGAGAGCTGGGAGTGAAGGGGACTCGCAGCACCTGAGATCGGGCCCTTGGAATTGCTCTAGGTCGAGAACCTGACCAGCTGGGGGCTGGACGGGCTGGTGGTTTCATGCCCTCCCCTGGTGGGCACCTCGCAAGGACTGGACATCTACCGGACGCGAGTTCAAGTCCTGGTCATAATAACAGTCCTGATCAATGAATTCCCAACTTCCTATCAGCCAGGCCCCCCCAAAGTTCCTGGGGCGCGAAATGAAACGAAAAGATCATGGATTTTTTTTTCCTCATGAACTTCTTGATGGTCCCTCTTATTATGTCAAACAACTCACCCTAAGTGACTAGGCGCTGAGGCACAGAGAGGCGAAGTGGCTGGGCCCAAAGCCCCTGAGTTACTAAATAGCTGACAGTGGTCTCACCACATGATTCAGGATTCATCTGAGTCAATGCCTCAAGGAGCCTTGGGGGCGTAGAACGCAGCAGCATCTCCTTTGGAGAAAGACGAGGCTTTCTACTCCCATAAGCAGATACCGTCTCAGAAACCCACAGACGGTCACTAGGCGTCAGCAGTGGTGACCGGATAGCACAGAGAGAAAAATGCTTCACAAGAATCCCTTGATGGGGGAGGCCATGATGTTTGATGTCCCTATTTCTCTGAGAAATAACCTGAAGTACGCATTGGTCCTCACGCCTACCAGCAAGCCTGAGGTTTGAACTCAACCGGAGCTTTGTTTTTTTAAAAATTAATATCATGTCTTCGGGAGAGAACAGTCCCTGGAGAAGGACATGGTGCCTGATAAAGTAGAGGGGTGGCGAAACAGAGGAAAGCCCTCAGCAGGATGAGCTGACACAGGGACTGTAAGGAGGGGCTCCAACAGAAGGACCACTAGGGGGCCGGGGCCGGGCCAGGCAGTGTTCAGTGTCTCCTGGTGTGGTACTTTGGGCCGCTATGAGTCAGGACAAACTGGCTGGCGCCTAGCCACAACGTGCCAGCCTGTCCCCAGCTCATGCAGGAGGTGGGGTGAGTGGCTTCCCAAGTCTGTGGGAAAATGGAATTCAGTGGATTTCTTCTTTTTTTGTTTAGCCTGAGCTTTGGAAGACCCCTCACCTGCCCAGCTGGATGGGAGTTGATGATTCCACAAACCCACACTTAACCATTTGCTGCCCAGGAGATCCGGACACCTGACCACCCCTGAGTTATCCAGGAGAGCTGGGCTCCATGGGGGCTTCTTGGCTGTAATCTGTATGGGAGCAGATTGCCAGGCCTTGCTTCCGTGGTGCCACCAGGTGGGTTTGAACAGCCAACCTTTCAGTTAATGCCACATACACTAGATCGGTGGTTCTCAACCTTCCTAATGCCGACCCCTTAATACAGTTCCTTATGTGGTGGTGACCCCCGACCCTCAAATTATTTTCGTTGCTACTTCATCACTGTCATGAATCATAATGTAAATATCTGATATGCAGGATGTACTAGGCGGCCCCAGTGAAAGGGTCATTCGACCCCCAAAGGGGTCATGACCCACAGGTTGAGAACCACTGCACTGGATCTTACTACTCTTCTTCCTTCAATCTGGGGCCAGGCTGGGGATGGGGGCACCAGGACCACTAGATTTCACCAGCTTGGCCCCTCACTTGCTTGGCAACCTCTGCAAGTACTGACTCAGCCTGGGACCCCTGTTACTTTCTTGATCAAAATAACCAGTCTTTCTTCCAGGAGGTGCCCTGGTGGGGTAGTGGGTACATGTCGGGCTGCTAACCCTGAGGTCAGCGGTTTGAAACCACTGGCTGCTATGCAGAAGAACCATGAGGAAGCCTTCTCTTCCTGAAGGGTTAGGTCTCCTGCAGAGGCAGTTCTACCCTGGGGTCTGATGAGTCAGAATGGACTCGATAGCAGTGAGTTTGTTTTGTTTTTTTGTCTTCTTCCAGGAAGGCCTCCTACTAGCTCCTCTTCTGGCCTGTGAATGTGCTCAGCCTCTGTCTACACACACACACACACACACACACACACACACACACACACACACACGCTCTCCCACCAGGCACATGCATAAGGCTGGGCACCATTTGTGTTTGTTGACAAAGGACTGGGTGGCTCAGGTGTCAAGGAGTTCCAAAGGTGGCCCTTCTCTGAAGAGGCAGGGGCAGCCGGCCAAGGGCTTCCTGATGGCGGTGTGAAGTGCACACCAAACATTTTACCTGCCCAGGAGCCTCTCTCCCTTCCTCCAGAAGCAGTCCTCACCCCCATTTTCCCTATGGAGACCCCCCCACCCCATGCAGCCCTTCTGGTTTAGAGTCAAACTGACTCTAGCCTGGCCAATCAGAGCACTCCATCCTCCTGGCCACAGGGATTGGCTCATGAATGAAGACGGGAGCCATTCCTGGCCAATGAGAATTAGCCCTGAGATTTCTGAGTAGTCTTTGGTTGAGGTTGCTAAGCTGGTGGGGCAGAAATCTGCTGTGCGTGGCACCTGAAGTTTCGAAAAGACCCTGCCTGTGCCCAGGAGCGCAGCAGAGGTGAAAGAAGAGCATTACAACGAGATGGCTTGAACCCCTGGATCCAGCTATGCCTGAAGCTGGGGCGCTCTGGAACTTCCCAGTGACTGGAGAAAGTGGTACCCTCTTCATGCTGCCAGTTCTAGCTACCACTTGTCTGTCAGTTTGTTGTCAGCCGGTGGTGGCTTGCGTGTTGCTGTGATGCTGTACAAGACCCCTTTGAAGTGTTGAAGAGCGAGGATGTCACTTTGAGGACGAAGGGGCACCTGACCCAGCCATGGTATTTTCAATCGCCTCATAGGCATGTGAGAGGTGGACATGAATAAGGAAGCTGAGAGAATGGAATTTGATTTGTGCTGGTGGAGAATATGGCAAATACCAGGGGCTGACAAAAGGACCAACAAACCGGTTTTGGAAGAAGTACGGTCAGAATGCTTAAGAGGCAAGGGGGGGCCTCATGGACTTTGGACCTGGTGTCAGGAGAGACCAGTCCCTGGAGAAGGACAGCATGCTTAGGACAGAGGCAGGAAAAAGAGGAGGCCTTTTATGGAGATGGCTTGGCACAGTGGCTGCAACAATGGATTCGAACCTAAGAACATTGGTGAGAATGGTGCAGAATCGGGGTCACTGTGAGCCAGAACTGACTCGCTGGCATCTCGTGATTTTTGAGTTAGGCTTTGTTGTTTTTTTGAGACGAAACATACCTTCACTAATACAATCTATGAATTCAGAAGAAGGCTGGGTCCTATAAAGTTCCAGAGGCAGACAAAAGGCACGTAAGCTTTATAAACCCACGGCCACGAGTCTCTGGACAGCCCCACCGGCTTCCCGAGACTCATCTTAAAGGGAGCACCGGCCACCTCTTCCTCCCAGGAACTCAGCAGCCCAGCGCTTTAACTACTGCACCACCAGCGCTCCTTGAAAGCTTTATTGACCCCTTCAAAGTGTCCCAGCTGCCAAATCACGCGCAAAGAGGGAGTGACTGTGCAGTGAGGAGTGGTGGGGAGGAGACAGTCCCCTGGGAAGGCCTTGAATGCCAGGGCCCCATGTGTGGCTCACCCTCCCTCAAGCAATGGGGGGAGCTATAGAAGGTTGATGAGCAAGGAGAGTTTATTTCAAACTTATCTTTACATCCTGTGGTCCCCCCCTCCCCCCATGCTAGGAGGGCCCAAGCGGCCATCTATATGCAAATAGATGCAGATGAGGGAACGCTGATGTAAAGATAGGCCCTCTGGGGAGACTGAGGAGGACCCTCCCCCTCATTAACTCTGGGGACCAGGTGCTGGGTAGAGAAACCCTTCCTCCCAGGAGCCCCTTCTAGCCACGCCCCTTAGCCATCTGTCAAGCCCCCTCCAGCTTCCCAGCTGAACCCCCATTGTCTGCTCCACACCCCCCTGCCCCCCCTCCCCGTTTGTCTCTGCTCTCAGAATGGCATGTCTCTTGACCTCAGTCCTTGCTCTGGACCCAGGGACCCTTTTCTGCTCTTCTCTGAGGTGGGGGTCCCCCAACTTTAGTGTCCAACACGCCCCAGGGCTGTCTCAAGGCTGTCTCCTCGTGAGCAGGTCTGTGCTTCTGCTACCTTCTTGTTAAATAAGGAAGTCAATTGTACTCTAGAGAGAACAAGAGAAACAAAGCCCCTTGACGGCCGGTCTGACTCACAGTCACCTCCGCCGGACAGAGAAGAACTCGTACCCACTCGGGTCTGAGTCCAGGTTTTCAACACATATTTTAGGCGGTTTTTGGTAAAATTAGGTGCCTCGGTGGATATTCGGGTCGTGCGGAACTCCACAGGGTTTCTAAGGCTACATAATCTTTCTGGCAGGGGAAACGGGAGGCTTCCTGTTCCCTTAAAGAGTTACAGTCTCGAAAACCCACAGCGGCAGTTCTACCCTGTCCACAGGGTGGCCGTGAATTGGCATTCACATGCTGGCAGTGGGTTTTTGAGAAATCTTTGCATCTCTCTCACTTACATCACTTTGCATCTCTCTCACTTTGCAGCTGGTGGATTCAAATCCCCCTGCTCCCACCCCTTCCCCAATGGTGACCTCATTTGGCTCTGTGGTCCAGCCCATGAAGACGTGCCTTGGAAGAAAGGCCTGGCAACCCGACGCCTGCTAAGTCAGCCATCAGCTCTACACGCGGGCTGGCCCAGGGTCAGGTGGAGACAATGCCAAGTGGTTTGGTCTTTTGTTTGTGGCCCTGATGGCCTGAACTCCAGGTCGCTCCCCCACTCTGTCTGCCGCTGTGGCCTCACACCTGGGCACACCAGCGCATCTCTCCTCCCTCTGTTCAGGCTCTCCCTCCTCCTCCTCCACCTCCGGTCCATCTCTCCAGCTGTCCCCTACCCCTCCTTCTCCCCAGGGCGTCTCCATCCCTAATTCTATCAGCTCTCCCAGTCTAGCTGGACTGCCTCTGGGGATCCCGGATGGAGGCACTAGCAATAGGAATGCTCATTTAAAGGCACAGCACCCCTCTCTACCCCACCCCACCCTGACAGCAGGCTCTGGTCCTCAGGGGCCAGACCAGCGCCCCGCTCTCCTCCACCATCGTCCAGCTGAGTCCCCCCTCTCCTTGCTCCCACCTGCCAATGACTTCAAGCTGGGAGGGAAGGCACTATCAGAGTCTCCCTCTGAATTGCCCTTGCCACACCCCCTGCAGAGGCTCTGGCTGGAGGACAGCGTCGAAGTGACACATGACATGTGACAGCATTTATTGCAGACTCCAGTGTCCACAGATGAGGGGTGGGGCGGGGGTGGGGATCCAGTGTCAGACTGTGCAGCAGGACGCCAGGTGGGGGGACCAGCAAAGGAGGCAAGAGGTAAAAATAGCCCAGGCCGTGGAGCCTCCCTTTGGGGCCTCGTCTCAGGCCAGGCCCCGGGCTTGGGTCCAGGAGCTATTCTAGGGCCTGGGAGAGTCACACTGCCCAGAGGAAGCCCCCCTCCCATCCCCTCTTCCTCCCAGCCAGCAGGCTGCTCTGGTGGAGGAAGGAAGGGAGGGCCAAGGAGGGGAGGAGGAAGTTGGGGTGGGCGTGAGGGGCGTGAGCAGGGCCTTTGATCCGCTGGTCCTCTGATGCCCACTGCAGCTCTGGGTCCAGTGACCAACTTGAGGAGGTTTGTGGGCTCAGCACTGGGGAGGAGGTGGAGAGGGTCAGCCTGTGCCCAGAGGACACCCCCCCCCCCCACCATGGTGCCCAAGGCCTCACCCACCTCATCTCCGAAGCCCCCGCTACCACCCCTGGCTCCTCCAGAGGCGCCTCCCATGAGAAGGCCTGTCTGCTCTGGGCGCTCGGACCCTGAGTGGCTGCGTCCCGGCTCCCCAGGTGGCCTGCAGGAAGGAGGTAGTGTGCCACAGGTGGTCAGGCTTGGGGGAGGGGTTGGGGTGGAGAGGCAGGGGAGAGATGAGGGTGTGTTGGGTGGGGATGGACCTGGGGGTGCAACGGTGTTGGGGTTATGGAAGGGAGTAGGATTGGTGATGGCAGTGGGTAGGATTGAAGGAATGGTTGGTCTGGAGATGGCCCTGTGGTTGGGGATGGGGCTGGGTAAGTTTGGAGTCTGGAGACAGAAGAGGTTGGAGATAAGATTGGGGTTGCCAAGGGGACTTGAAAAAGAGGTTGAAATTGGGTTAGTGGTGGTTACCGGTTGGGACTGAGAACAGGGAGGCCTTTAGGTGGGGTTGAAGAGGAGGTTATCAAGAGAGATGAGTTTGGGGATAGTGATGGGGTTGCATCTGGAGATGGGATGGGGTTCAGTTGGCGTGAGAATGAGGATGGGTTTGGGGATGGTTATGGAGATGGAGTTGGGGATGGGATTGATTTGGGAATGGGAGTGAGTGGGCTGGAGAAGAGATAAGGTTAGATAGGGATGGTTTATAGGTTGGCTTGGGTTGGGGATTGGCGGTGGGGTTGGATTTGGGGAGAGGGATGAGATTGAGTTGGATTTGAGAATGGTTATAGGATTAAGTTGCATTTGGGAATGGTTATAAATTGGAATTGAGGATTGGCGTTTGGTCTTGGTCAGAATGGGTTTGGGGCTGGAGAGGAGACTGCATATTGGGATGGGGTTAAATTAGGGTTGGAATTGGGTATTGGTTTGGGAGTGGACAGGACTTGGGTGTGGGGATGAAGGTGAGCAGGTGGCTAAGAGCCAGGTCTAGGTTGAACGGGGACTGGGGGATGAGGCTGATGGCTATAAATTGAAAAGGAGAAAGAGGATGTAGTTGGGTGGGATTGAAGATAAGTATAGACAGATGGAATAGGTGATGGTTATAGGTTAGGTTTGAGATTGAGGATGGATTCAGGTTGGGATTGGCAATGGGGTTGGATTTGGGGACAGAGATAGGTTACATTGGGTTTGGGAATAGTTATTTATGGGTTAAGTTTGAGGATGGGGTTTGGTTTGGGAATGGGAATGAGTTTGGGACTGGAAAGATTGGGGACTGGCAAGGGGTTAATTAAGTTAGAAATGGATAGGAGTTGGATGTGAGGATGTGAGTTGGGGATTTGGATAGGGTTGGGACAGGAGATGGGATTGGGATTCAGCTGAAATGATGGTTGAGGCTGCAGATAATGGGTTTGGGGATGGAGATGGGGTGAATTATGTCTGGAGATGGGATTGGGAATAATTATGGGGTGGGTCTGGGGGATGGAAATGGGATTAGGCTTCAGCTGGGGATGAGGTGGGGTTGGAAATAGCTAGAGATGAGAATGGGGTTCAGCTGAGGATGAGATGGATTTGGGAATGGTTATGGGGTGGGTTTGGGGGATGGAAATGGGATTGGGCTTCAGCTGGGATGAAGTGGATTAGGAATAGTTATGGGGTGGGTTTGGGGATGGAGATAGGATTGGGGTTCAGCTGTGGGTGAGGTGGGGTTGGATCCAGGCCGCGGGTCACTCACGGGGCTCCTTTCTCTCCACGCCGGCAGCAGCCAGGGCGTCCCTTGCGTCTCATGCAGTAGAAGGCAGCTACGACCAGGAGCAGGAGGCCCACGCTGATGGCCACGGCCATGACCGCTACTCCCGCCTGGGCAGTCTGGGGGGCCACTGCAGGAACAGGCCGGGGCAGGGTCAGCGGGAGAAGTGGGGGTGGGGCTCTGTGTGCCAGGGCCTGCCCCCACCCAAGGGTAAGCACTCACCAGAACCGAAGTGAAAGACATGGCGGGGGTTCCCGTAGGGATTGGAGGCCTCACAGAAGACCCCGTCTCGGCTCAGGGCGCTGGTCACCTTCAGGGTCAGGGAACTGCTCACCCAACCCTGCCCTCCGGGGCCTGGCTCTGCTGGCTGAGGGGGCTCGGGTCAGATGGGCACCCAGGGATCCAAGGGCTTGGGGGAAGGGATGCAGGCCCCTGGGGGTGTCGGGTCCACAACGCCTGGGAGGGTGAGGCCTTGGGGAGGAGACGGGGACCCCTTACACTGCCGCCCAGCTGGCTCCAGGTGAGTTTGGGCTCTGGGTCACCGCGGGCAGCGCAGGTCAGCGTGACTTCTTCCCCTTCCTGCCAGCCCTCTGCCTTGGACGGGGTCTCCTCTGCCATCAGCTCTGGTGACCCTGAGAGAGGCGGGGTGGTGAGCAGACTGGGTGGATTTAGGGCCCCCAGGGGGGAGGAAGAGAAGAAGAAGTGGCGAGTGGAAGGTCCGGGGAAAAGAGGACGATCCCCAAGGAGATGGATGGACGCCGTGGCTGCAGCAGTGGGCACGACAGGATGGGGAGAAAGGCCCAGGGCGGGCGGTGTTTGCTTCTGCGAGGAGTGGGGCCTGGCTCGTCGAAGTCTCGCCTCCCCAACAAGGGGCGACGGCAGCCCCCGGGCGGCGCAGTCAAGCCGACAGGGCTCCACCCACCCCAGGTGCCTCGGAAGAAAGGCCAGGCTGTCTGCGGCTGAAAGTTCGCAGCCTCTTAAACTCCACAGAGCTGGTCGGCTCTGCACTGCCCAGAGGGGTGGGTGGGGCCGTGCGTGCGTGTGTCAGAAAGATGTAAGGTCCAACGGGGCACCTCCTGTTTATTTGGGACCCCCCACCCCCACCCCGCTGTCCCTGTCCAGGGGGCCCCGCCCCCACACCTTGGACGTGCAGCTTGAAGGCCTGCGTGCGGCTCAGCAGGGGCACCGTGGACACGGAAGCCTCACAGGTGTAGGTGCCGGCGGAGTCAAAGGTGACAGAATTGAGTGACAACGTGCGGCCGTCCCCCAGGGGGGCCCCGTCCTGGGGAGAGGAGAAGCAGCGTGGTCAGAAGAGGCGGCTCAAGGCAGAAGGGAGAGGGGCGCCGGTGGAGGGGGGCGCAGGCCGGAGCCCCTCACCTTGGTCCAGCGTAGGGTCGGGGCGGGCAGGCCTTGCACAGAGCAGTCCACACTCTCGTTGCTGCCCAGCTGCAGGGACAGCTGCTCTCCCACGCTGAGCTTCAGGGGGTCCAGGTCTGGGGGACACAGAGAGAGCTGAGTTCCTCCCACCCAGGGCCACTCCTGGGCCTGTGGGGGTCCAAAGGACGCTAAACACGAGCTCCCAGACTTCCTCCCCCTCCTCCTCCGGCTATCACCATTATCCCGTCCAAGCCAGATGCTACAAGTCTAAGTCCCCGCGACACCAGCCAACCCAACCCCTTTCCTCCAGAGCTGACCCCCCTGAGACGGAGGTCAGCAGTTAACCTGGGGGCCTTAAAGCCTGGCCACTCCCCACCACTGCTCAAACCCTGTGCCCATGGACCCCACCAGCCCTTGTCCTCAAGACTTATAGGCTCAGCACCCACCACCAAACCAAGAAACCAAACCTAGAGTGCATGCTGGCTCACAGCAACCGGGCAGGGCAGGGTATCACAGCCCCCTGGAGGTATCCAAGAAGGTCACTCTGTCCGGGAGCAAGCCTCCTCTTTCTCCCTCAGCCTCTAACGCCTGCTCGGTCTGCCTCACCCAGCAGCCACCCACATCCGTGTCTCCTGGCTGCCACTTACGCACAGCCCTCTCCTTTGCTTAAAAACCCTGCACTGGCTCCCCAGTAGCCTCAGCATCAAGCCTACATTCCTTAGCGCGCACAGCTGGTACCATGCTGCCTGATCTGGCTCCTGCCCATCTCTCCTTCCCCCTCATCTCCTGCCTTCCAGGCTCATCTCTGGGGGGTGGGGGGCTCAGACCACACCAAGGGACACTGTCAGAGGGGTGACATAAAAACGACTGTCTATAAAGTCTCTGGAGTGTGTCAGCAGAAATGTTGTTTTTTAAACTCCTACTATAGTGAGTTCTAACAAAAAACATTTCTTGTCTGCCCAGAACCGATGTATCAATAAACCTATCCTTAAAAAAAACTCTATGCAGGGAGACAACAGACAGTGTAAGCTACGAAATAATAATAATAACAATAAATCATTGATCAAGGATTCGCGAGGGTGGGAGGGTGGGAGAGGGAGGGGAAAAAAGAGGAGCTTATACCAAAGGCTCAAGTAGAAAATGATTTGGGAATGATGATGGCAACATATTTACAAATATGCTTGATACAGTTGATCTATGGAATGTTGTAACAGCTGTAAGAGCCCTCAATAAAATGATTAACCAAAAACAACACTCTAATTTACGTGGTGAAGGTTCCTGGGTGCCTGGCAGAACTGTCATTATTACCAATGACAACCCCACTGCCAATCACGTGGCTTCCTCAGCACAGCCAGGGCCAGGTGCAGTGGGGTATGCATGGGGCTGCAAACGGAAGGTCAGCAGTTCAAACCATCAGCCAGCAACGTGGGAGAAAGGTGAAGCTTTCTACTCCCATAAAAGAGTTAGCATCTCTGGGACCCACAGGGGCACTTCCACAGGCACCCCTGTCCTTCAGGGTCACTAAGAGTGGGCATCGGCCGGACGGCTGGGAGCGAGAGCTTTTGCCCAGTTTTCTGATTGTTTTAGCGACAGTGTTGCTGTCAAAAGTGGCATTGGGGAGCTCTTTCTCAATATAGATTTTTTGGAAGAAGTAGCAATGACGGGGTGGGGGTGGAGGGGGAGAAAAAAAAGTTTTAAAAGGCTTGATTACCAAGTAATGTGGCGACTAATGTGTGTGGTGACTTCAGTGTGGAAAGATTTTTACAGAACAATTTTGCTGTCAGCATTCGTATTAAAAAAGGGGGGGGGGGGGCGGGATTCACCGCCATCGAGTTGACTGGGACTCACAATGACCCAGCAGGAGCGCCAGAGCTACCCCTTTGAGTTTCTGATACTTTACATCTTGAAGTAGAGAGCCTCATCTTTCTACCATAGGGAGATTGGTGGGTTCAAACCACAGACCGCACACCACCAGGGTGTTCATATAATCTAAGAAATACTACACTTAGGCAGGTGACAGCTGTATTTATCATAGATAGCTCTATACTTCACAGTGATGATAAATGTGGCCATGGAGTCTGCATGGCCTGGCACGGGAGGAGGCCCAAGGGCAAGGGGTGTCACCATGAATGACCAGGCCGGGTGATGACCGTCAGGATGGGCTACAACATAACCCTGTGTGGATGGCGCGGGGGCCGGGAGGTGCTTCCTTTTGTTGCACATGGGAAGCGCCACCCGGGCGGGCACCCAACGTGCGGAGCTGGGCCCTGCCTCCGGCTTTTTGCACCTGCTGTTCCTTCCCCTGGAATCTAGCTCTTCCCATTCCTGATTCCCTTCGCTCAAATGCACCCTTCTCAGAAAGGCCTCCCTGGCCACCTGTTGTGGAAACCCAAAAGCTTCTCCCAGGATTTAGCGCTCCAGCTGCCCAGCGGGCCATCAGCTGTCAGCCCTCGCTGGGAAGAGCCACAGCTGCAGAGGGCCCCCTCGTCCAAGGTCACATCCCGTCCCCATTTTGCGGGCAGTCCAAGCCTGTGACTTCTTACGGGGCGGGTGGCCAGGGCCCAGCTCCCCAGCGCCAATTCTGTAGGGCCATGTCAGCTACCAAGCAGGGCCAACTGTGGCCTGGTTACCATGGTCCTGGAGACCCCCCTCTCTGCTGCCTTCATGCCTCCCCCAGCAGATGCGGACTCCCAGGGGTGGGGGGTGGGGTGGGAGGGCTGGCACTGACTCACAGTGAGTGGCCTCATGTATAAGGGAAGGAAACGTGGCCGAGGCATGAAGAAAGCTGAAGGACATCCACAAGCCAGGGAGGAAGAGGGAGGAGAGAACCCAAACGGAGTAGCAGGAGAGGCTCTGAACCTTGCTGTGGAAAACCGATGGGAAGAAATGATGACGTCGAAGAGCTGCACAGAGGAATTCAGGGAAGACCAAGTATGATCGGGAAGTGTGCCAACCCCACCCCATGGGAAAACCGGAAGGGAAGAGACGGCACTTCTCAAGTGGAGAGGGGGGCAGAAATAAAACCCAGCCTCAGATTGCAATAGCGAAGGGTCCCGGGGACAAAATGACACCCCCTTACACACACACACACACCCCTGGTGGTGTGATGGTTACACACCGGGCTGCTAACTGCGCTTCCTGGGAGGAAGATGAGGCTTTCTACTCTCATCAGATCTTACAACCAGTCAGGGTGCGGTACATCACCAATGAAGCACACAACTTTCCTCTAGTTCTTTAATGCTTCCTCCCTCCCACTGTCATGACCCCAGTCCTACCTTACAAATCCAGCTAGACCAGAGCATGTACACTGGTACAGGACAGGGAGTCCAGGACAGATAAAACCCCTCAGGACCAATAATGAGAGTAGTGATACCAGGAGGGGAAAGGGGGAGGCGATCACAATGATCGACATATAACCCCCTCCAGGGGGACAGACAACAGAAAAGTGGGTGAAGGGAGACAGTGGTCAGTGTAAGACATGAAAAAAAAATTATAGATGGGGATAGGGGATGGGAGGTGGTGGATAGGAAGGGTGAGGGAAATTAAGGAGCAAACGGTCAATGCGGGAGGAGGGCAGGGGCAGTAGAACTGGTTGTGATGATGTATCTACAACCCTCTTAAAATGACTTAACGATGAAAGAATGTGATACGCGAATGTTTATACCACTAAAACTTTATAAACAGGAAAAAATGATAAATTATCAAGGGTTCATGAGGGAGGGCGAGAGGGGGAGAAAAAAGAGTTTTGAAAATGATGATGGCAACGTACATACAGATGGGCTTGACACAATGAATGGATGGAGTGTGATAAAAGCTGTAAGAGCTGCCCATAATGTGATTTAAAAAATTAAAAGGTGGGGAAAAAAACGACAAGTCTCAGGGAGACTCACAGAGGCAGTGCTACCCTGTCCTGCAGGGTCGCTATGAGTCGGAATGAACTCAATGACAGTGAGTAAGTGTGTGAGTGAGAGTGACTGAGTGTGTGAGTGAGTGTGAGTGACTGTGTAAATGTGTGAGTAACTGAGTGTGTGAGTGACTGAGTGTGTAAGTGTAAGTGTGAGTGACTGAATGTGACTAAGTATGAGCGAGTGAGTGTGTGAGTGACTGAGTGTATAAGTGTAAGTGTGTGCGTGACTGAGTGTGACTGAGTGTGAGCGAGTGAGTGTGTGAGAGACTGAGTGTGTGAGTGACTGAGTGTGACTAAATGTGAGCGAGTGAGTGTGAGTGACTGAGTGTGTAAGTGTGTGAGTGACTGAGTGTGTGTGTGACTGTAAGTGTGTGAGTAACAGTGTATGAGTGAGAGTAAGTGTGTGAGTGACTGGCTGAGTGTGACTAAGTGTGAGCGAGTGAGTGTGTAAGCGGCTGAGTGTGTAAGTGTGTGCATGACTGAGTGTGTGAGTGAGTAAGTGTGAGTGACTGAGTGTGTGAGTGACTGAGTGACTGATGGACAACATGGAGCTCTGGTGACAATCGTTAAACACTGGGTCTTCACTGCACGGTCAGCAGTTCTGAACTACCAGCCGCCCCGTGGGAGAAAGAGGAGACTTACTCCCATAGAGAGAGTTTCCGTCTCAGGAACCCACAGGGGCAGTTCTACCCTGTCCAGTAAGGTCACCCTACACGTCGGCATCAGCTCGATGGCAGGGAGTTTGGCTTTGGTTGGTTTGGGTGAAATACTGTGTGATGCAAGAACCTCAAAAGAAGATGGGACAAGGGTCTCTGAACCAAAAAGCTTTGGCCGATGTTCAACCGTTGCAGGAGGCAAGACGTGAAACAACACTCATCGTGTTCAAGGAAGGAGCCCAAGCTGCACTCACTGAAGGCTTGGGAGAAAAACAGGCTCCAGGCACTGAGGGATGTTTCCACTAACGGATCCAATACTAGCAGCTTCCACTCGACTTTGCCAAGAAATTTGGAAAGCAGATAACCCGGTCACCTGACTGGAAAAAAAAATCCACGTATGTGCCCATTCCAAAGGAAGGTGACCCAATGGACTGGAAGGTCCCCTTAGTGTCCCTCGCAATTAAAGTGCTGCTGGGGACTCCTTCCAACAAGCCCTCAGCAGGGAGCCACTAGGCATTCCGACTGGATTCACAAGGGAACGGGGAATACCAAGGGCTCTCACTGCTGAGGTCAGCCGGATCTTGATGGATCTGGAAGCAGAGAAGGCCCGGAAGATGTCAACCTGTGTGTCACTGACTATTGAAGGCACTGCTGGGGATCACACGTGGTGCATGGCATTTCAAAGAATGAGCCTTCCCACTTCCTTGTGGTCACGCAGAACCTGTGCTGGACCAAGAGGCAGTCGTTTGAACAGAGCAAGGGAGCACTACGTGGGTTAAAATCGGGAGGTGTGCTTTGAGGCAGCATCCTCTCACCAGGCTTGCGATCAGGACGCTGAACAAATCATCAGAGAAGCCGGGCTCTAGGAGGAGTGTGGCCTCGGGGTGGAGGAGGGCTCCCTGCATGACACAACTTGCCTGCTGCGAGCCACGATGCCTGGGAACACTTACTGATAATGGTCGATGGATGACAAATTTGGCACCGGAAGAACCTGGAGTCTAAGTGCTAGAGAGCGAAGACATCACTTTGAGACGAAGATGCACCTGGCACGAGCCCTGGCTGGTGCTCTCAAACCCCTCCATGGCATGTGACAGCTGGATCATGAGCAACAAATGGGCCAGAATAGGGTGTTGGTGAAGAACACCGAGTGGAGATTGAATGGACACAATTGAAGAATACTGAATGTCGGGAGTTGAAGAAATCTGCCCTTAGAAGGAGTCCCAACTCCCTCCCCCCAAACAACAACAACAACAACAACAACAACAACCAACCAAGCTCACTGCCATCGAGTCGATACCACACCGACCCTGTGAGACACAGGGGGGAATTGCCCCTGTGGGTTTCCAAGACTCTTAAATCATTATGGAAGTAGAAAGCCTCTTCTTTCTCCCACAGAGCGGCTGGTGGATTCAAATTGCCAACCTTGCAGTTAGGAGGACAACTCTTCACCACCAAATCACCGGGAAAAGAAGGAGTACCGCCAGACTGCTCCTTCGCAGCGAGGATGGTGAGACTTCATCTCGAGTACTGTGGAAGTGTTATCAGGGGAGATCTGTCCCTGGAAGGTCAGCATGCCTGGCAGCAGGTCAGAGAGGAGGAAGGCCTTCAACACAGTGGCTGCAGCAGGGCCTGGGCAAAGACCAGGCAGGACACAAGATGGCACAGGACCAGGCAGTGTTTCCTTCTGTCGGGGGACGCCCTCCGCGAGGGCACCCAACAACAACACGTCCGAGTTCACTGTTTTGGCTAGGTTTCCAAGGTATTCTCTAACCAGCTTCCCCCCCCACCCCCCCGGCACATCTCCGAACCAGCATCTGCTTCCAGGAACACAACTCTCCCTTATCTATTTAAAACATGCCCTGCCAATCCCTCCGCATCGCCAAACAGAATGATCCCCCACCCCCACCCCGTGAAGGTTGCCACTCAGCGTGCCTTCTCTAGCATTGATTGGCTCTGGGAAGGCAAGTTCCAGCCCCAGGCCAGGGCACCGAGGCCCTGCTGGGGGCGCAGAGCCATGGAGGTCCTTGTGACTTGTTCAGTCCCCGTGCAGATTGGAACTGTGCTCCACAGGGGGTTTCTAGGCTGTGACACTTTGGGATGAGAAGATGCTGGGTCAAAGGGCTCTTTCTAAAGTCCAAGCCTGACCCTCCTCTGCTTGGAGCCTACCATGGCTCCCCAGTGCCCCGAGGAGAAAGCTCAGCTCCTCACCTTAGCTCAGGTAAGGCCCTAGGTGCCCCTGGGTAGATTCAAGTCACTAAAGTGAAGAGGGTGATCCTTTGCTACTCGGGGACGCCTTGCGCCCTTCACAGGGAGTCCCCAGGAGGAAACCAGGTCCTCTGGGAGGGCGCAGGTACCAGCACCCCACGATTTCTCAGGCAACAGGGTAGGAGGGTAGAGAGGAGGGTGGGGAGGACACAGGACCAAGCCAAGCAGCAGGGGCTGCCGAGGGAGAAGGGTGAGCTGAAGCCGGGTGGGCAGAGCCAGGCCTTGAAGAGCGTGGCAAGGGCTTTAGCTCTCTCCCCAGGGGGTGCTAGGGAGCCATGGCAGGTTGTGGGCAGACGAGGGCCGGGTTGGTGCTTTAGAAAGCCGTCAGAGTAAGCTCACATGCAACACACAGACACAGGCACACACAGACACACACACATTGCCATCACTACTGACTCATAGCAATCCTAGAAGGCAAGGCAGAACTGCCCCCCTGGGGTGCTGAGACAGACAGACACAGGGAAGAACTGTCCACCATCCCCGGGGGTTACTGAGTGTACAGACAACAGCACCTCAAAAGGTGGGCTGGGAAGCTGAGAGGCAGTGGCTGTGTGGTCACGGTGGAGGGACCGTTCAGAAAAAAGGAGGGTAAGAACGGCTGCCCCACTCCGAGACGGTCATCCTTGTACCTGAATGGCACGTACAAATGCCTGAACTGGGTGTGTTTTGCTGTGTGTACTTTCTACACTGAAAATGAAAGAAATTGTCTTTAAAAGAGAACAACCAGGGAGGAGACGAGCCAGTCAGGGTGCAGGGTAGCAACGATGAAGCAGACAACTTTCCTCTAGTTCCTAAATGCTTCCTTCCCCCCACTATCATGATCCCAATTCTACCTTACAAAACCGGCTAGACCAGAGGATGCACACGGGTACAGAGAGGAACTGGAAACACAGGGAATCCAGGACAGATGATCCCTTCAGGACCAGTGCTGAGAGTGGCAATGCTGGGAGGGTGGAGGGAAGGTGGGGTAGAAAGGGGGAACCGATTACAAGGATCTATATAGAACCTCCTCCCTGGGGGGAGAGACAACAGAAAAATGGGTGAAGGGAGATATCCGACAGTGTAGGATATGACAAAATAATAATAATTTACAAAGTATCCATGGTTCATGAGAGAGGGAGGGAGGGAGGGGAAAAATGAGGAGCTGATAGCAAGGGCTCAAGCAGAAAGCAAATGCTTTGAGAATGATGAGGGCAACAAATGTACAAATGTGCTTGACACAATGGATGGGTGGATTGTGATAAGAGTTGTATGAGCCCCCAATACAATGATTTAAAAAGAAAAGAAGACAAAAAACAAATGCATGTAGAAGACAAAGCCAAAAGAAAAAAAGAAAAAGGAACCTTTGGCTGCCTCAGGTCATCTAGCAGGTTGGAGTCAGGGAGACCAAGGAGGAGGATGGGCGGGGGGCCCAGAGGGAGAGGAAGCCCCAAGCGCAGGGCAAGGAGAGAAAGGAAGGGAGACAGAATGAGGATGCGGGAGGAGACGGTGGATACAAGATGGACCGGGACATGGAGAAAAGGGGGTGGAGGTAGAAGGTTGGAGGCTGGGTGGGGGGCCCCCCCGAGCCCCACCCTTCACCCTCCCGAGACTCTCACAGGCCACTCGCAGCTGCAGCGTCTGGGAGAGCTCAGTGTCCTCGGGGACATCGTAGTCCTCCACCCGGCAGCCGTACGTGGTGCTCTGGTTCCGCTGCACCTTCTCCAGGGTCAGGTTCCCGTTCAGGTTGGTCTTTAGCACTTTCTCCTGCTGGTCCTGGGGACCACCGGAGAGAGGCCACCTTCAGCCACCAGCCTGGGTCAGCAGGCGGGG